TCAGTTTATATCCGAAAAGATTCAGATTGTTTGAAAATTATTAAACCTATTCACTCTATAAATGTACTACACTGTAGACGGGACAAAAAATCATTTCTGATATTTCTGAAGAGTGTGCATGTATTTCTGAACTGTATGGCTAATCAGTTATTACTGAATACAGGGCTTTTCATAATGAGCGTTAATTANGATTTGTTACAGTGATACATGAATATAATTTTCTATCTCAACTGACAAAATCGAAAAAAAAAATTTGGAAATTATAATATTTTTCCGTTGGAAAAGTCAATTGAAAACAATGAAGATAAAACATCGAGATTCAAAAAATCAGGACCATATAAATCAAATTGTGGAACTTGCCCTGCGGTATATATTGGTCAAACTGGCAGAACACTCAGGAATCGCATCCAGGAACATCATATGAGCTATGTGAATAAGAAAACAAGTTCGACACATTCAAATCATATTCCAGAGAAAAATCATATCTTTAACAAAGATTTCCATCATCTGCAAGCAATGGAAATTATTAAACTTAAGAATTCAAAAAGTTCACCGAATGACCGATTAGATTTAAATGGATCCTCATTACTGAAAATATGGAAACCGATATTATCAGACTCTTCGTAGAAGTATCATTATTGATTTATATAATATGGTCTAGGTAATCATGATTGAGTAAGTACCTGGAAAGTAGTTTTCACGGATGTTTACGTGAGGTATATAAAAATTATAATAAAAAGATAACTTTCAGTATGTTATTGACTACGAAAAAGTTACTGTAATAATGGAACATGTGATATTCTTGGAAATAAAGTTTGTGGAGATCGAATCATTTGGTGTAGTTTGTGAGATTATGATAATCTATATGTATTGAATATATTTGTAACATCGTTACAACTATATGTAACATCGTTTCAGGTTCTTTCCATTCAACTTGCCCCCACTGGCAGAAATATTCTACAGACTTGCTTGAGGTAAGAAATGGTGGGAATCTTGCGTCTTGTTGGGTTATCTCAAGCAACAAATGGTTTCACAATACTCGTTAGAACAACAAAAAAAAAAGGATGTTTGGAAGTAAAAAAGAACGTGCCACAATTTTCAACAGATTTTCCTCGGCTAGTTTTGATCGATATGATTTGCAATTTGAAAATACAGTCCTTCCAATCAAATTAATATTTGGTAAAATGAAACTCATAAATGAATGCAAAAACCTCAATTATGTCTCACCCGGTACATAAATCTATCCTTCTTTCAGTTCGTACGTGACAAACGTACTTACAACTAGCTTACTGAAAAAGTATCGAACAAATCAGCAAATACGTACCTACTCGTACAATTGGAAAACCAGCCACAACAAATTCTTTCAAACGCTGTCAACCGTACTGAAATCATAACGCACTTTAAACAGTTTAATGGCTGCTTCAAAACCTACACAGTACCAATTGATGAGCACAAAAAGGTAATTTACGGAAATTGTTACTGCTGTATGTTGTTATTTTCTCTCCCACAGAAAACGTTTTATCCCAAATGAAAATAATTTGCCACTTGAATATAATGTTTTTCTAAAGACCTTCGCAATCCACAATCGGGATTCAATTATTCGAGACCTATTATTAAAGTGACTTTCTCAATTTCTTTCTATTTTCGTGCTACATCCTTCAGGAGTGGTTTTTCTGCAGTGCTCAGAGCGGAACCAACATTTTTTATTCGATCTATAGTTAGACTCATGCTTATTTGGAAAGAAATATTACTTATCGATCCTGTATGTCTGTCATACCCCTGCTTCTTCATACCAATGAAAATATTGAAATCTTCAGAAGAGAGGGAGAAAACAATCAATTTCAAAAAATTAACTCTATACAAAGATGTGTAGATTATGCAAAGAAGTAACTTTCAGACCCGAACTGGAAAAAAAGCCCTTTCGAAACAGTTAGGCTGTCACCTTCGACCTATACGCAAAGGACACGTGATCACCTGTTAATATATCATATGACAGATGGGTATTTGCCATTTAGCTAACAGTGAAGATGGGTGGGGTTCCCAAATATTGTGAGTTGATTCGATTTTAAATGGGCGCCAGGTAAATTGTAAAATGCCAAGTACCTCAATATAATATATTCGCAATAAAGATCAATATAGAAAATATTGCAGAAGCCACTGGATTCTACAACAAACGTTCTTTATTCCAAAATTTAATTATTAGCAATTCCCATGAGCAAATTAAGCAATCAAATATATGCAATCAAATAACTATTCACTCTTCCAAAATTCATCCAATTGAAGAAACTAATAACTTTAGTACAAGCAAAGAGTGCAAGCTCTCAATAAAACAAATAAACAGATAAGGCAAGTGCAATAGAATATTAACTATTAACCAAAAAAAAAAATAATTATCAATAGCATACGCATAAAACTGACCGCCTTCAATAGTTATACGACCAGTTATCAATAAGCACTAGCATAAGTATAAACATAGGCATAGACAGCAAAATCTGATCCGTTTCTAAATTAACCTAATTATCGATAGTAATAAAATCCAACACCATGTGACGTAGGTATTTGAATTGTTCCATGACAGAAATTAAATATTCACTGAATATCAGTACGCAAGAATCAGATATAATGCGTTTTAAAAAATGTTCATATACAGTGTGACCTATTTTCAATGGAAACACCCCCCTAAAATTTGAAGTTGTGAATCGATTTTAATCATTTTTTTTATGTCAAGTACTAAAAGGTCTACCTTGGGACAAAATTTGAAATGTTTATTGAAGTTTCAGGGCATACTACGATATTTTTTCTTAGTCGAAAGTCAGGATTTTTTATTGGCGATTTTTCATTGAAAAAATCACTACGCCACTGGATTCCGAGTGCCTCTAAATAGGTGTGACCAAAATTTCATAGAAAAATATTCANATGTAGGTTTTGAGACAACTTTTAGAGTGTCAATATACAAGTATTTACAGACTTACAGCTGGGTATCTCGAATTCCGAGAGGAGGCATAAATTCAGAGGTCATTTCCAGAATGCTCTGACTTCCAGTGTTAACCAACAGTCTGTTGCACTCTGCATTTAATCGATTTGTGCAATTGGCAATGTGCACAAGTCTATATGCAATCCATCTAGCCTCTCTCTCCAGCAAATGTGGAGAGGAGGTAGATCTAGAAGGATCTACTTGGCTGCTAATGTGTGTACAAACCTGTCTCTGTAAGCTAGAGATATTCGCCTGGGCCGTTTTCTGTAAAGCCTTCGGCCACCAGGCAATTGCACTATAAGTGATCATTGGTCTGACAATCATTACATAAATCCAATGGATTTGTTTGTAACTTGAACCCCAAGTTTTACCACAAATTCTCAGACATGTCCATAGGGACAGTTTGGCTTCGTGTAAAACTTTTTTCAGGTGAGCACTTCAGGTGAGTTTTTTATCAAGGACAATGCCAAGATATTCCATCTCCGTTCCAAATGGAATGACCTCACCATTGAGGAAAAGTGGCGTTAGATCGTCCAATTTCCTCCTTCTGGTGAAGAGGATTATCACAGTTTCGCTAGGGTTGACAGGCATCTGCTTCCTCAGGCACCAACTATGAACAACGTCCATCGTGCTTTGGAGGATATTACAAGCTACCCTACCCGACGTGGACTTTACTAAGATGACTAGGTCATGCTGCAGACTGCCAATTTTTTATTCCATAATGAATGTTTAGAATACGTACTTCATAAAGAAAAGTATTTGTTTATAAATCAGTGTTTGTATGGAAGTAGGCTGTTTCGAAAAACCTTTTTATTTCATATAAATTAAAAGGGTATATTTTAAGGAGAGATTCATTTTTGGGGAAGAAAGTTTTTGACCTTCTACTTCTCCATCTTGAAGCAAACAATGAAGGAATCTTCCAAAGAAAGTTAGATACCTCCCTCTCGATTTAAACATAATCAGTTTAATATTTATATCATAAGTGTATTAACCACCACTGTTTTGAGTAGAATTCCAAAACCTATTTTTGTATTTTCTGAAGATAATCCTTTGAATATAGGTGGGTTATTATTGTCTTATCAAATTATTCAATTCTGTAAATGGATATTAATACAGTGTGTCTCACTTCTCATGGAAACACCCCCGTATCTTCCGTAATATTCGAGGTAGAACGATGAAACTCTCAGGACTGATGAAAATGCTCAAAATGAACCTACCACCTGAATGGGGTTGGCCAAAGTGATATACACTGTCCGCCACTCGCGATGGAACACCCCATTTTTACGGTAAAAAATATTAGGGGGCAAAATAGGCTCAAAATTCCTTCAGATTCGTGATCAG